ATGTTTTTCACTCTCCTCTTCCACTTTCATCAAGAGGCTCTTTAGTTCTTCTTCACTTTCTGCCTTAAGGGTGGTGTCATCTGCATACCTGAGGTTATTGATATTTTAAATTTCTTTCACAGATACCCAAATTTTTAGTAAGTTGGAAGGAAATTGAAATCAATAGGCTAGTGGTCATGAGAAGGAACTTGAGAAATTCCGCTAGTCTCTAGAGGGACAGCATTCACAGAACTGCGTAGAAGGACAGCAGAGGGGATCAACCAAGATTGAAGCCACTCCCTCAAGTGTGCCATTTGGAAGGAGACAGCACTCATCCACGGGACGAGAAATAAAGCATGTTAGAAACCAGTTTTTGCCCAGCAAAAGATGGAAACACTTGCGAAATTTGAGCCCCCACGGCCGCAGTTTTGAATACTCATAGGTCATCCCTCAGGGTTGATAAGCTCTCTAATAGAGACATGAACCTACTCCGTCTCAGGCCCACAGCTCCCCAGCACTTCTGGGGCCCAGGAAGAGCAGGAGTGCCAGGAGTTACATCTCCAAGGCCAGCTGCTTTGAGGGAAGGACCTGGGGTACATGTGTCATGGGAACAGCTGGTTTTCTTGTCCCATTGTCAGCTCAGAACAGGGTTATGTGATTATTGATTCCTGTTCCAGTCTGTCCCCAAGAAACAATGACTTCCTTCATTTGTTTGTAGATCTCTATAGGCACTTGACGGAATCATAAAGGCTGATTGTGAATTATAAAGTATTTCTAAATAGATTACACAAGTACATTGTCTTGAATATCATATAATTAGGACTTGAAATCACTATTCCCAGATGATCATATAGTTTGTCCTCAAATTGACCTTGAAAGGTGTGGACCAGTGGTGGATTTTCACATGGAAGTTAGGACACTTCTTGTGAAACAACACAAGATGTTGATTTATTTAATCCCATTATATGAACTAAATCTCTTAGTGGCAGGAGGTATGGCTGTATTATATATATTCTGGGCTCCACATAACAAAAAGTTATCCAATTATAGAAAATAATTTTAAGAAATCACTTTTCCAACTTTTTCCATTATGCTAGTCATTTGTTTTGTCATCTGCTAGCACATGTTAGGAGAAAAGTGAGAGCAGGTGCCAGAAGTTTAAGAACATGTGTTTAAAAAAAAAACAATTTTAAATTGAGCACATCCTAACAATTAACATAATCTAATTTAAGCTACAAAACACTTCAATCCAATTGGGCAGGATGTCATTGTTTCAAAGAATAATTTTAGAACCACTGATTCAGTTTAAATGTTAGTTTAAACACACTGTATTTTAGTTTTTAAAAAGGGTTTTGTCTGGTTTTAATATCATGTATTACATAAACTGTGGGTTTTTATTCAGTCTTAGTTCAGTTCATCAGGCACTTATTGGCTGCCTGTTGTGTAGAGAGAACCCCGACTAAGTGTATGAGCCTTTGTCCTGAAGAATCTTAGAATCTGAGGAGGAAACGTAGGCCCAGTAGAGCAGGGGTCCCCAGCCTCCAGGTCAACGACTGGTACCTCCTGTCGGATCGGTGGCGGCATTAGATTTTGAAATAAAATTCACAGCAAGTGCAATGCACTTGAATCATCTCAAAACCATCCCCCTCCCCATTCATGGGAAAATTGTCGTCCACGAAACCAGTCCCTGGTGCCAAAACGTTTGGGGACTGCTGCTATAGAGGGCACACATATTGTAAGTTATGAGAAGCAGCAAATTGTGATAAATGCTTTAATGGAGTTATCAAGGGCTTGCTTAGAGACACAGGCAAGGGAAGTTTGGTTCAGATTCAGAATGAGGCAAATCCAGGAGAGCTTTCTTGAAGAGCTGGCACTGAGCTGAAACTTGAAGGTCCGGTAGAGACAGAATGGGAAAAGGAAACAATGGGAAAAGTAAGAACCTGGAAAATGGATGTGGAGGAAGTTAGGAGCTGGAGGTAACATGGTTCCTCTGGGGTACAGGATATTTGGAGGATGTGGCGGGGCATGCAGTTAGAAAAACAGGGAGGTGCTACATTTTACCGTCTTGAGAATACCAAACTAATGAGCCTAGATTTGACTTTGTGCACACTAGGGAGGCTGTTTGAGCGGGGGAGTGGCCTGATCAAGTCAGTTTGGGAGTAAGTCGAAGGATGAGTTGAAGGTGGGGAGGAAATTAGAGACTATTTTTGAGTGATATAGATGCCATCTGTCCTGTTAAAAATCCCAATAAATTATCTTGCGATTTGAGGTATTTTATACAGAAATTCGTGTTGTTTACATTTTAATGGTTAATGATGCACTGGCAAGCTTACTACTCTGCTATTTCTAGCAGCGGGTGAGCAAAAGCTTATACAGTGTAACAGTGATAAAGCATGAACTTCCTTTTTTTGGGGGGGTGGGGGGCAAGAATAGCATCTGAATCAGCACCCTAGATAGTCTCCTAATTTAAGGAGATGTTCTCTTAGCCAAGGAAAAGAACCACCCAGATTGTCCTTTTAGAAACAGATCCAGAAAAATGCATCTATCAGTGGATGAAAATAAACCAAGGTGAAGCAGGACTCTTAGGTAAGACAGTCTCTAGGTTAGGACCAAAACCCAGTTTACCTGGGTTCACAAAGTCTAGCTTTGCCACTTACACAGACTGTAACTTTAGGCTTATTAGTTAACTAATCTGTGCCTCAGTTGTTTCACTTGTAAAAGAGGAATAATAATGGTACTTGTCTCAGGGGTTGTTATGGGGATGAAATGAACTGATACATGTAAAGTGCTCCAAATGGTACCTGGCATGTAGTTAGCCCAATAAATGTTAACTACTGCTAGTCAGTTGTTGGGCAGTAAGTTAACTAAATGCCTGTGACATAGTTTATACAGTGCCTCCACACCGTGGAAACCTCCCTGCCCCTACTCCCTAACTACCCTGTGACTCTTTGTGCAGCTGATCCTGGACACATCCACTAGGTCATTTGAACTCCACAATCACTTGATGGAAATTGATTGTCCTAGTTAACTGCTGCTATTAACAAGCCACCTCAAAACTTGGAAGCATAAAACAACAACCATTTTATCATGCTTGCAGACTCCTGAGTCAGGAATTAAGTGGGAGTTGCTTATCTCTGCTTCACAGTGATTGTGCCGGTGGCTAGAAACATCTTAGATGGCTGGGGAGGATGCCAGCAGGTGGGCAGGATCCACTGCCATAGAAGGCTTCTTCTGTAACCTGTCTGGCACTTTGGTGAGATGGCTGAAAGGCCAGGCTTAGCTGGGGCTGTCACCTAAGCACCGACATGGGTCCCCTTCACCATGGTGGCCTCAAGGTAGTTGTCAGACTTCTTAGAGTGTTTCTGCAGCAAAAGCTACATGCCTTTTATGATGCATTCTCAGAAGCCTCATCACTGACACTTCTCTGTTCTCTGGGCTTCCCTGGTGGCTCAGGTGGTAAAGAATCTGTTTGCAAGGCAGGAGACCCGGGCTTGATCCCTGGGTCAGGAAGATCCCCTGGGCTTGGAGAATTTCATGGACAGAGGAGCCTTATGGGTTACAGTCCATGGGGTCACAAAGAGTCAGACACAACTGAGCAACTAACACTTTCACTTTCCCTGTTCTCCATTGATTGAAGCAGTCACAAGCCTGCCCAGACTCAAGGGAAGAGATTAGACCACACTTCTCTTTTTTTTTTTTATTAGTTGGAGGCTAATTACTTCACAACATTGCAGTAGGTTTTGTCATACATTGACATGAATCAGCCATGGAGTTACATGTATTCCCCATCCCGATCCCCCCTCCCACCTCCCTCTCCACCCGATTCCTCTGGGTCTTCCCAGTGCACCAGGCCCGAGCACTTGTCTCATG